CATCAGTTACTAATGGAAAAAAACAAATAGGTGGTTATATTTTTGATGAATAGTAATGTCTTCACTCAGACTCTAATTTTGTGACTCGTGATCAACTCTGCCTGGTGATTCAGAGGTCGATCCCGAACATGAAGGATGATGGTGGCTGGTGATTCCAAGACCGACTGTGGGCGTGGACGAACACGGTGGCTGGTGACCCCAAGACCAACTGTGGGCGTGGACGAGCATGGCACCTGGTGATTCCAGGCATGGTAGAAGACGGTGCATGGAGATTCCAGGGATGTTCCCGGGTACAGATGAGCACAGCACCTAGTGAATTCAGGATCAATCCCGGCCAGGGATATTCCGCATGCAGAGACGTCAGAAGAAGCAGAGGCCAAATTCCAGAGTGAACAAAAGCAAAAACGGCAGGATGGGCAGCTGACGCAAGCCCCTGTAACCAAAGAGTGCTGGCAGCTGGGGCCGGTTAGCGGTGGGAGAGGCGTGCCTCTCAGTCGGCAGTCACACGGAGTCTTCCAGAGGGCCTCCGTTACACACGGTGCCCCGCCGGTCACCAGACAATGAGGAGCTGAGAGAGAAAAGGGGGGGAAAAACCTAACAAAAACACATGGAAACATCAGAGGCCCCTCTGCTGCTCTCAGCTGAACCCACTCCCACTCATGTCTCCTTGAAGTCCGGTGTTTTCAGCTAGCTGGGTTAAAGGTAAAGCTTTATCAAGCTACTAGATGGCAGGAGAGGGGTCTGGGGGTGGGAGTGGGGTGGAAGGTTTTTTGTAGGGGGGGGCAAAAGGATCGTTTCCAGACAGAAACAAAAATCTCCCGCACCTCAGCTGCAGCAGTCGGCGAGGACAAAAGCCCCATGACAAACTGGCTCCGTGACGCCAGCGAGCACATTCCGTTTCTGTGAGCCCCACGCGGATCATTTCATGAAACGGGATGTTTCCGTGCCCTCAGATGCATCCACCTGCTTCATTTGATCAAGGCTGGTGAACCAGCTGCTCACTTAGGGAGCATCACGAGCACAGGGCCCAGGAAAGAACATAAGAAATTTATAAACCAGGAGGCTATTCTGTAAATTTTTTATTCGGGATAAATTTGCCAGGTTTTTGCAGACAAATCCGGGCAGCAGTGACCTAGAATGGGAAGGCAGGTCACGGATCAGGAAGGCTTTGGACCGGCTCATGGCATGGAAGCAGGGTGCAGGGTGCAAGCCTCACTGGGTGATGATCAGTGTCACGGGACTCTGCTCAGAGCGTGCTCTCCTGCCGTGGGGTTTACGTAGCTCACTGCACTTTTAAGGAACGTGGCAAGCGGATCATCAGAGTCGTTCCCACCGAGGTTCTGGAGCACAGCCTGGAGATCAGCTGGGTGGTGGCGGCATAATGCGGCAACGCCCTCAGCACGATCTCCACCCGGGCTGCAGCCAAAAGTGGGCCCAGACAAAAACAGACCTCAAGAGAAATCGCTTTCCGCGATGAGAGTAACCTCCTTGTCTAGAACGACGAGTAATAACAGGCTCATGTTTACCTTCCTGCACATTATGCTCAGTGCCAGTTTGAGAACTGGCCCAGATTAATGCCGCCTCCACCAGCAAAGTGGCAAGCCTGGCC